TTATTTATAACATTACATTATAAATTTACGGTATGATTACTTAATTAATTATAACATTCTATTATAAACAATATTACAATACTTAATTAAATGATTAACAATTTAATTAATTATAATATTACATTATAATTAAACCCTAAACCCAAATAGTATATTTGTTAGGGGTGTATTTGTAAACTTTTAAGGTATTTTTGTCATTTTTTAAACTAATAGGGGGGTAATTGATTTTTTATAGGGTACCCCAAAAAGGAACCGGAACCTGCATTTTAGGTTTCGGTTCCTTGAATTGAAGAACCTGCATTGTGTGGTTCCGGTTCCGGTTCCGGTTCCCTCGGAAATGGAGGGTACCCGGAACCGCTCACCCCTATTTGGGGGTTTAGTTAGCTGGAAGAGCTCCAAGCAAAGCATTGTAGCAGACTTTACAATGGAAGCTGAGTATATTACATTATCTGATGCGGCCAAGGAGGCAGTCTAGATTAAGAAGTTCTTCACCGAACTTGGTGTGGTTTCCGTGATTGTTGATCGGATAGATGTCTATTGTGACAACAATGGAGCAATTGCTCAAGCAAAGGAACCAAGGTCTCACCAGAAGTCCAGACACATACTCAGATGTTTTCATCTCATTAGAGAAATGGTTGAGAGGAAAGATGTACAGATCAGTAAAGTGCATACTGATGACAATCTCGCCGATCCACTGACGAAGCCTCTGTCGCAGCAAAAGCATGAAAAACACTTAAGGTCAAGGTCAAGGTCATTCGATATTAAATACATGAATGATTGGCTATAGTACAAGTGGGAGATTGTTAGAGTAGGTGCCCTAGAGCCAATAAATTATTGTAAAATTGACTATGTAATAAATATTTATTTATCAATAAAAGGAATATTCTTCTATATCATGTATGTAATGATATATGTCCTTAGGATGGTAGAACCATGATGAGGGTATCAAGTGTTTCAAATCTTGATAGTGAGAACCCTATGATCACTATGGTGGCCATTCTAGAAACGTATGTAGCCCTAGTATTATTCTAACCAAGGACATAGATAATACGGTAAGGCTATCATAGTGTTAAACGATCCTGTCGAAAGGCAATGACTGGTCTCACTTGTCAAAGTTGTTTGCTGACAACCTGGTGCAACGCGTGGGTGCTTGCTAGAGGCAAGTTCATTGGACAGACCCACCAGAGGATTCCATATGGATGGTAACCCTAGTGTCTATGGAATAAATCCTCTAACGGATGGTGGTGCATATGATCCTTAGACTTGAGATCACCGGAGCGCCTTGTGTATCAATTGTTGTAGTTTGACACTAGCCCAACATAGTTCTATTCAGAGCTATCAATACGATAGTGATTGGCTACATTGAGAAGTGTATTGAGACTATGGTGGATCGATAAATGATTCATCACTCCTAGGTACGGGAGAAGTTATCTCACTGGGTAATTTAGTAAATGACAATGACACTAAATCTGTGGCCACAGTGAGATTGAGTTGAGGCTCAATCCAATATAATATTCTTGTCATTGATCTAATAACTGAATACAAACATGTCAAGGATATCTAAGGTTGACACTATTTATGTACCTCAGTCTCGATGAGATAACAGTTGATGAAAGGATTTGATTGCACGGTAACCAAACAATTGACAGGCTGCGGTTTCGCTGAATCCGAATCTATCGGGTGGCCATGATGCCTTGCTAGGGGCCAATCTTCATTTGTGTGTAGTGAGACGATTAATTGGTGTTAATCACGATACTACACATTGCCGATATATGAGGAGCCTACAGGTCACACACTAATAAGATAATTTAAGAATCAATTTATAAGAAGAGTATTTTCGTCTTTTATGATGAAATGGTATTTTGGTAATTTCATAGTGCAATTAAATTTGCTGAGGTTGTTGCTTGTATTTAATGTTAATATTAATATTAAATTAGTGAGATTATATTTAAATATATCTCTGTATATATTTAAATGAATTATTATTATTAATTAAATATTAATATATTATTATATATTAATTGATTTTAATTATAATAATAATTAATTAATTAAAATACCTTAAAAGGTGTGTTTGGTTGCAAGGGTAAACTAGGGTTGGAGCCCATGGCTATTCCTAAGTGGAATAGGGTTTTAATTGTTGTACTATATAAGTGCAACTTAAAATTAAAACATGAAAGAATTATTCATTCAATTAAAAAACCCTAGCCACCCTATCTCTCTCTCTCTCTCAAGAAGAAATTTTTTTCTTGTTCTTCTTTCTTGATTCTTGAAGCTCTTGATTGTTCTAGCAAAATAATCAAGGGATCTACGGATTATCTTCGTGTGGACTTCTGTGAGTGCGATCCTACTTTGGATCGATTGGCGAAAAATCACGTGAACAGTAGATGGTGAACAGTAGATGGTGAACAGTAAATGTGAACAGTGTTTGTGTCCGAAATCAGAGATATTCGAAGGAGCCTCCAAACGTACGTAAGTATTCTAATCCTTGAATGGATTTACTTTATACAGATTTTGTTTATAACCATGTAAACGGTATAATCTATACTCGGATCTTGGCAAAGAAAGGTAATTGATTTACTGATTGAATTTTTGTTTTCCGCTTCGTATGGTAGATCAATTACTTACAGATATGGTTGGTGACATTGATAACCGCAAGAGTACCATGGGTTAGAAGATTGCTACTCTTTCTACTATAGAGGTAGAGTATGTTGCTATGATAGAGTTAGTACGGAGCTAATATGGTTACAACGGTTCCTAGAAGAATTGGGTTAGAATTATGAGAAAAACACTTTGTATTGTGATAGTCAAAGTGCAATTCACTTGGCAAAGAACTCAGTCTCCCATGCTAGGACAAAACACATAGAAGTTCGTTACCATTTCATATGCTCAGTTTTGGAAGAAGGAGTTACAATTCTCAAGAAGATTGAAGGGAGTAAAAATCCAACTGATATGTTTACGAAAGTGGTTACCATTGAGAAACTAAAGTTGTGTACAACTTTAGTTGGACTTCTCGCTTGAAGAAAGAGAAGTTGACACCGCTGCTGATGGAAGTGAAGAATTGAAGACGTGTTGAATTAGTCTCCAAGTGGGAGATTGTTGAGATTGTGGAGCCAAATTCACTCCAAATTAGAGTTGGATTAGGACATGGGTTTTCCTGATTTGTGTTTAAGTAGAATTGTTTTCTTTTAGGAATACAATTGGAAATAGGATTATAATTGTATTAGGAATTAAAATACAATTCCTATTAGGATATGAAATTTGAGTCCTATTAGGAATAGTGTCCCATGAATTACTTATAAAAAGGGGTAAAGTCCTAAAGTTAGAAATCAACAAATTGAATAGAAGGCAAAGCCACAATTAGAGAGTGAGAGCCACCAAATAGGGTTTAGTGAGGGAGTCAATTTGTGAGGCTTGAGAGATTCTTATAATTTTTCTTCTTATTCATAGTGAAATTCTGCGGTGGCAAAGTGGATGTAGCTCTCATACTAAGAATGAACCACTATAAATCTTGTGTTTGTGCATGTGGTTATTTGTTTGTCCTTTGTTCGCATTATTTTTCGTTTTCAGGGATTTAGGATTTGCTAGTATTCAATTAAATCCCCCCAACAGTATATTCAAGCGTGTGTTTTCCAATGTACAAGAGCTCTCTATTTATACATTACAATAAATTCTAGAATCATGCTAATAATTTATGCTAATGGCTAATATTAAGCTTTGCTTGATTCATAAATCAAGCATAGCCTTTTTCGAATTTAGTGTTACCTATAAGGCATGTTATGGTAAAACTACCTGGATCCTTACATTTTGGTGGAAGCTTCCTTTGTAAGACCACTGACACATTCTTTCCTACGCTTACAACCTCATTTCCCTTGAGCTTCCATTTGTTGGTATACAATTTCTTGAGAAGTTTCGCATAGCATGGTACTTGTTTAATGGCGTCCAACAGCGGTATGTTGACTTGCACTTTTTGCAAGGTATCAAAGATTTCTTGTTTATGCTCCTCCTTCTTCAATTTTGCAAACCGCTAGGAATAGGTAAAGGAGGTTCATAAGTATGAAATGGAACCTTAGATTGTACCTTAAGCGGTTGTTTTGCTTCTTTGAAGTTGGGCGCCCTATCTCCCTCGTTATTGGACTTGCTTGCTCCATCTTGAATCAGCTCATCCTTAGTCTCTTCATTATGGTTTCTTGTGAGCTTCTTCAAGTTGTTTCCTACTTCTCAATGATATAGCACTAGCATTCTCCCTAGGGTTGACCACGGTTTGAGAAGGAAGTTTACCGAATCCTTATGCCTCTAGTCTTCCAACAGTAGTGGCTAATTGACTAACTTGATTCTCAAGGTTCTTGATCTATGTCTGTGTGTCTTGTTGGAACTTTATATCCACTTGTTGGAATTGGAGAGTCTTGGTGGCTAAAGAATTCATTAATTCTTCTAGAGATTTTCCTTGAGGTGGGAGAGCATTTTGTGGCCTCACTTGATAAGGTTGTTGTGCTTTTAGATAAGGAAAACCCAGTGGATTAGTAGCGGCAGTAGCTTAATGGTTTCCTGAATAGCTAAGGTTGGGTTGATCCCTTCATCCTAGATTTTAGGTTTTAGAGAAGCGGTCATACCTCTACCTTTATTGTCCTTGAAATCCTCCCAAAGCGTTTGCTTGCTCCACATTAGGATCTTGAAGAGTATAACACATGTCAGTAGGATGACCAATGTTAAAGCAAATTCCGCATGTTTTAACTTGTCCTACTGCCATTTGTTGCACAAGTACAATTAAGGTGCTCAATTGCTGCTCAATATTAGTGGAATTGCCCACTTCATTGACCCGCTTTGGTGGTGAATTAGATCAAGAACCAAATTGAGCATTCGCAACCATAGTTGCAATCAATTTTCTTGCATTCTTAGGTGTTTTATCAACCAAAGCTCTACCACTTGCTACATCGATCATACTTCTTTCCATAGACATCAATCCCTCATAAAAGTATTGGAGTAAGAGCTGCTCCCTTATTTGATAATGAGGGCAACTAGCATAGAGTTTCTTGAACCGCTCCGAATACTCATACAAGTTTTCCCCATTGTATTGTCGAATACCATAAATCTCCTTCCAGATGAGAGTAGCTATAGAAGCTGGAAAATATTTCTCCAAAAATAGTCTTTTTATGCCATTCCAACTGTCAATGGTCCCGGATGGTAGATAGTACAACCACTCTTTAGCGTTGTCTGCTAAAGAGAATGGAAATGCCCTAAGCTTAACTTGCTCCTCAATAGTGCCACCTTGTTTCATGCTAGAACACACCACATGAAATTCCTTAAGATGTTTATTCGGATCCTCTCCAACTAGACCTCGGAAAGTAGTTAAAAGATAAATCATGTCTAACTTTAATTCAATAGCTTCACCTGTTTCATTGTATCAGATGCACAAGGGTTGTCAGTCCAAAGTTGGTGTAACCATCTCCTTAAGAGTTCGAATTTGATTATTCCCAATCATCTCCTCGTGATTGGAATAATCCAACTCGTCTGAAGAATCGCTTGGGGATGGAAGATTGGTATTGATTGCTTGATTGAGCGTTTCCTTACAAATTGTTGAGAATGGGTGATAGGTGGAATCGGTACAAAGTAGGGATTTGATAGCCACGCCACCTGAAAAACAAACAAGTTAAGCTGAAAAAAAATAAAATAAAATAAAATAACCAAAGGTAAATAAAAAGTCAACTAAAGAAAAATCCCCAGTGACACGATGGCAAAATTGATGCATGCAAAATCCACAACCAATTTAAACCTTACTTAAATTCTCTTAAAATATCATTTGTTAGCATAGAACAAGTAAGGATCTTTCCCGCAGAAGATTTTTCAAACTAACTATTGATTTACTAAGTAGGGGGTTCTTTGATTGATAGTGCAGAAAATAAAAACAATTAATTAAAAGCAAATAAATTAAATTCAAGGTCGAAAGAATATGAGAATATCGAGATTGAATGATCATTCACCACCACTAAACATGCATTTAAAATTAACAAAAGCACTTCCTAACTTTCTACCTTTTTGATTATAACAGCTCAAAAAATATCACAAGCTCGATAAATTCAATTTCTCCTTACCGTGTCATTGGATTAAACAAGCTCTTAACCCAGTTCTCTATCTACCAAACAACCTAGAATATGTTCTCTAGATTTAATTTAATAAAAGCATTAAGAGACAAGAAACATCCTGAAAATCATAAGCTCGGGTTAGTTATCTTAAGTGTTTATTTCCATTGCAAGCAATTTACTGCTAGCTATCTAGACTAATGAAGCATTATGAACTTAATAATCCAAATTTGTAACATACATATTAACTCAATCATTCAATTGGGCACTTAAATAATCAAGAGAATCAACTAAGGCATTAATAACATAGAATAAAACACAATCAAAAGATGTAGTAAGAAAGGAAATTGTAAATTCTATTAATTATCACAAAACATGTCTAGGGCTTTGAAATCACCCCCATTACAAGAAAATTAGTTATACATAGAAAATAATAAATCCATAATAGTATTCATGATAACAAATAATAGATAGGAGTAGAAAAGCTTAGGAACTTGGGTTGATCAATGGTGTTGCTGCATAATTCTTCTTAATTGCTTCCTTCCTCTCTCTATTCTTTCGTCTCCTCTTTTGTACGTCCATTCCTCTATCTAAATCTTGCTAAAGACATCTATTTATAGTGCTAGGGTTCTAGGGATACTTTTGGAACAATACTTTTTGAAATAAACTAGGAAAATTCGGATAAAACTTATTAGAAAACACCTAAAACTCGGACTCCTCCACACAGGCCATGACATTCCTTTTTCTATGTCGCACGTCCTTCTTCGTCTCTGATGCAAACCCAAGGCATCACCACCGTGATAGAAGATTTTGAATGTCACAACGTGTAAAGATGTCCACAATCGAGCATGATAACTTTCGAACCTGGAAAAATCGTGAACATATGAATTGTATCCCTTTGAGTCAGCTTTGCAACACTTTAGGAATCATCCAAATTTGAGGTCTACAGGTCAAGTTATTGTAAAAATACTGAAGCATATTCCAAAACTCACGATTTGCACTCAAATCTTCTTGTTTTATTCAAAACCATAATTTCCTCTTTTCAACTCTGATTCATGAACAATTTATAAAACAATTTCGTCGCTGACATTATTCTTCATCCAAATATTATATTTAAGCACCTATGACTTGAAAATACACCGAACATACCCGTGATTCTGAAAAACACATTTATAAAACAAATAAGTCAAATCATACTAATTAAACCTAATTCTCCACAAATGATACCGATAAATCAATAAGTATAAGTGTATTTTCAAGCACTTATCACTAAATGTTTGCTACTTATTGCTAATAGATTATAGCAACCAACTTTCACCCAAACATGCTTTCGTTCTTCCACTATTACAAAAACTCATCAATACTTTGCATTTTACCATCCTAGAAACACTATAATGAGCCACCAAACATTACAGTCATATCATTGTTTTCACAAAAATATCCTTACATAATATTCCCTCTAAAACTCGTGGAGAAGCATCTAATATCATTAACTATTTTAACCCTTATACCAATATGGATAGACTAGCCCATCTAATTTTAATCCAAACTTTATTTACAACTGATATCAAATCCGAGAATGATTAACAACTCATTAACTTTGCACTATTTCTTATACCAATTTCTATCATTTAGATTAAACAAGTGTTGATGACTAATAATATTTTAGATGCACTCTTTGTATATGATGAAACACATGCTGTGGTCTATATTAGGAGACGTAGGAGGGGACAATAAGGGATTACTGGTAATGTAGTAGAAAGAGTGTCAAGCAAGTGAGTGTGGACAGATGACAGCATGAGGGTGGCTGATGGGTGAATTCTGTTATAGAGTATGGGACTGAATTGCATAAAAGGGGAGAGAGAGAATTAAGGAGGATATTCTGAAAAGTGGAAAAGTGTCATTTGGGAGGTAGCTAGCCCTCGAAGTCCAACAAGCTATGTTTTCCTTTATATTTTCATTTTATCTTCTCTGTTTTGCTTTCTAATTTTCTATTGAATCAAAGTTGTGTTGATTGGATTGTTACTTGAAATCAATATCAATATCATCGTATTTTATTCATCTTCTTCTAATTGTGTGAGATTATTGGTGTGTTTACTGAATTGGTTTTGGGTAGATAGATATTGTGATTGATTAATTGTGGGATTTGAGCTTGGTATCTATCAATTGGTATCAGAGCATAGTTGTTTGGGTTATGGTTAGGACAAGAACGGAATCAAGGATGGACGCACTACACGAAAAAGTACTATTTGCAACCATTTCTTTTGCAACTGGGCAAAAATAGTTGTAGAGACCCCACATTTTGCATCTAAATTGCAATCAGGGTGGCGGAAGGTGAATAAAATTCTGGGGCCCATTTATTCCGGGCTTGGGTTGATTTGTTGCCCAAAAAATAATGTCAGAGACTAATTTTTCTGGTGGCCAATTCTTAGGCAGTAATTTTTTCCCGGGAAAATAGCACAATTGGTGTCTACATTAATAGATTTTGCAACTAAATTTTTGGTCACAAGAAACAATTTTTTGCAACTACACTATAGTTTGCTAAATTAGACGCAAATATTTAGGGTTTAATTTGTAGCTATTTGATTAGTTACAAAATAACACAATTATCGAAATATCTTAGTTTTTATCTAGAATTACAAGGGGGCCAGGGTATATTTAGCAGCAAAATAATTTTGAGCTCATTATAAATAGTCGCAAACAATCATTTATAGCAACTAAATTGTATTTAGTCGTCAAAATGAATGGAATTTTTTAGGCGCCCAATGTACTCAGTTAAATGGAGGAAAATCATTATTTTAGTGACTAAAATGAATTTCGAATGACTAATTCGTTAGTTGTAAATGATCATTTTTGGGCAACTAAGTGTTTAGTTACGAAATATAGTGAAAATTATGCAACCAAATTTTGGGCTGCACATGTTCCTATTTTAAATAAATTGGAAGGCTACATTTTGATATGGCATAATTGTAATTTCGCGTACAAGAACAAAAATATGCTTATGTCGTAAACATTTAAGACTCTGTTTGGTTCATTATTTGGTAGTTTTTAGAATAATCTTTTGAAAAAAATTAAATTGGGTGGGTATTACGATGTAGAATTTTAAAAATTAACATAAATACCCCCAATGTTTATTTATTTACTAAACACCCATATAATAAAATATTCAAAGTTAACAAAAACACCCTCAATTCACTCATAAATACGGACAGCTGACCACCACCACCGGAGGTTGGCTGGAGTTGCCGTATTAGCTTATGACCAGCTCAATCTTGCCGAGCGTGCGCCGATATGGCCTTTTCCGGCCAGATCCACCATGGATCTAGTCGGAAAAGGCCAGATTTGGACATTGCCGACCAGATCTGGCCGTTAACGATGACCACAGATATGGCCATCGTTGATGGTCAACGATGACCATATCTTAGCCGTCGTTGAAGACTGTCTACGGCCAAATCTTTGGCCGTAGATCTAGTCTTTTCCGGCTAGATCCAATATAGATCTGACCAAAAAAGGCTAGATCAGCGCGTTACCGACTGAATCAGATTTCGGCCAGCTTCCGACAGTGGTGGCCGGAATCTGATAAATTTGGGTTGTTAGGGTGTTTTTGTCAATTTTTAAAATTTTTTTGGAAGATTGTTTAGTTAAATTAACAAATTTAGAGAGATTAGAGGAAGTTGAATAATTTAAAAAACTATTTTGAAAATAGGTGAAACAAACACAAATTTTGTGTTAACTTTTTCGGAAAACTGGAATAGTTTCCCAATATGTGAACCAAATGGAGCCTAACACTCTCACAAAAACTTACCCAAAAACAACGAGCCCTAAACCTTTTCTACACTCTCTCAGTATCTCCCGTTCATATTCATCGATTTCTCCAACTAAGGTTCGCATTTTAATTCATCTTCTTATTCTTTAGATCTTCGATTTTATCTTCTATACATCTATTTCTGTGTATCTTCTAGGTTTTTTTATAAAATGTTTTGTGGGTTTGTTCTTTCGATCTCTTTTTTATTTGGGTTTTGAT